AAGAAGAACGAAAAAGAAAACGAATGCGTCAAATTTTCAAATGTTGAAAATCATCAAATTCACAATATATTATCAATCAAAATTTCGAAAATGCACGTTGATGCATTGGTAGACACTGGCGCCGTGATTTCATGTGTGTCAGAACAATTTTTGAGTTCAATTAACAAAAAGGATTCAAAATTTTACAAATCATCAAAGATAAAAGAAGTTTCAGGAATAAACGGTTCTGTTCAAAAGGTTTTTGGCTTGATAGAATTACCCCTTTGTTTCGGCGATGTAGTCATCAATCACGAATTTTGTATTTTACGTATATTACCTCGAAAATTGATCATAGGCATGGATTTTCTAAAAAAAAACACAATGTCAAAATAGATGTCGGTTTTGACGGTTTTACTCTACCTGAGTACAACTTAGAATTACCTTTGTACAATCCTCCAAATATTGGATTTGTTAGATCCATTAGAAAAGAGACCATTCCAGCAAAATCAGAATGTTTAATTCCATTGAAAATCTCGCATGCTTCGTGTGTACATACAGCATTGTTAGAGCCAGTCAATCAGTTAGCATGTAAAAGAAACATCTTAGGATCTAAATGTTTGGTAACAGTGGATAAAAATCGATCATGTTATCAAATCTTGAACCCAACAGATGAAAATATAATATTGCCAAACAAAACAGTCCTAGCTAAAGCGTGCTCTGTAGAGGCACATAGTGTAAGCGTGTTGGAAGAAATTGGGACACAAAATGAAAACAAAAATCAGAATATATCTAAAGAGATAGCGCTTAAAAATACAGAAGAACTGAGAATAGATATCATAAATTCTAATTTGAATGAAAATCAAAAAGAACAACTCAGAATATTGATTGGTCGAAATCGTGACGTTTTTGCCAAAGACATGTCAGAGTTAGGCACAGCCAGCAGATATGAACATCATATCCAGACAGAAAATGATATTCCCATTAAACAAACGTTTTACCGAACATCTCCAAAATTAAAAGAAGAGATTGTAAGACAAGTTGACGAAATGTTGAAACATGGGATTATAGAAGAAAGTATGAGTGCATATAGTTCTCCTGTAGTTTTAGTGAAAAAGAAAACGAACGAATACAGATTTGCAATCGATTATAGAAAGCTGAACAAAGTTACAGTGCCTATGTATTGGCCATTACCTCCTTTAGAGGACGTTTTTGATGCAATTGGAAGTGCAAAACCTGAACATTTCAGTTCGTTAGATATGGCAGGAGCATATTGGCAATTAAAGTTACAGTAGTAGAAGGAATAAAGCAGTTTGAATCGTATTTGGCTAATAATCATTTCAAAGTTTTCACAGATAACAAAGCCATTACGTGGTTACAAACGTTGAAACATTCTACAGGTAGATTGATAAGATGGGCATTGAAATTACAGGGCTTCGATTTTGAAATTGAACACAGAGCTGGAAAAACAAACCCAGCTGATGCTCTTTCAAGACGCGAATATGATGAAGACAATTGTTTACAAAACAAAGATTGTGTACATGTCGTGGATGATATAAGCAAACAGAAGTGTCAAAACAGTGGTTTGGTGCAAGCTAGGTTATATGTAGCAACAGAAACAGAAAATGTTAATAGACAAAATGAGGATGGAAATAGTTAGATATTTGATATTGACGTAGAAATTGAAAATGAAAAAGAAAGATTGAAACAACAACAGCAAGAATGTCCTGACTTTAGTGATATAATAAATTATTTAGAACATAGTGAATTACCAAATGACTTAAAACAAATGCGAAAGATAATTGCAGAATCTGAACAGTACGTAATGATTGACGGTATATTATATCACCTTTACTAGCTGTTCCAACAGATTTAAGATGTGATATATTGTATGAATATCATGATTCGCTCGCAGCAGGTGCTCACCAAGGTTGTGATAGAACATTTGCATCAATTAGAAATAAATATTTCTGGAAAGCAATGTTTAGAGATGTGCTAGAATACGTTAAATCTTGTGAAACTTGCCAAAAAGTAAAGAAATTGCGGAAAGATGCACCAGCACCATTGAATCCATTGCCAATAACAAATGTGTTTGAAAGGCTTCATATGGATATCCTTGGTCCGTTGACAAAGTCTGAAGAAGGTTACAAATACATCTTGTTAGTTTTGTGCGCTTTTTCAAATTTTTCTGAAGCAATTCCTTTGAAAACACAGGAAGCAAAAGAAATTGCAATGGCACTTTACCGTGATGTATTTACACGTTATGGTTGTCCGAAATATTTGATTTCAGATCGCGGAAAGAATTTCCTATCCTTGATAATTCAATCTTTATGCAAATTGTTTCACATAAAACGGTATCATACGAGTGCATGGCATCCTCAAACAAATGCCGTATGTGAGAGAACACATTCTATTATTGCGCAAACGTTGAGAGCATACTGTGAGAAAGACCAAATGAATTGGCCTGATATAATACCTGGAGTAATGATGGCATTGAGAATGACACCGTGTACACAATCTACTAAATATTCACCATACTATTTAGTTTTTGGAAAAGAAATGCGTACACCTTTAGATACAGATATCTTAGCTGAAGATAAACCTGTACAGAATATGCATCAATATAGAGATAGCTAGAGAAATTGCCAAGAAAAACAAAGAAACAGCACAGAAAGTTTATAAAAAGAATTATGATAAAAAAACGAAGGTACCAACATTTAGAATAGGAGATAGAGTGTGGGTATACACACCCTTTGACACCAAAAGGATTGAGTTCAAAATTGCATGTGAAATATAAAGGTCCTTATTACATAACAAAAGTGTTATCGACAGGTTATACATATATTCTGAGAGACTGCACAAGTCATAAAGAATTATCATCTCCTGTTCATGCAAATAGATTAAAACAGTACTATGACCCTAGAGATTATACACGCTATAGAAAAGTTAGTGAGAGCAAAAGCGAAGAAAATAAGATAACCCAAGAAGTGTTAGCAAAGGACAGTGAATCACAAAACGCCTCGAATGATAAAGAGCAAGCCCAAACAAATGATGACGAATGGTATGAAGTTGAAAGGTTATTATGTTGTAAAAACATCAACAAGTAAAGACATTACAAAGTGAAATGGAAAAATTACAAAACGCCTACATGGGAACCAGAAGAAAATATATCAGATGCGTTAAAACGAGATTTTCACATAAAAAGAACATTACAAGGTCAACGAAAAAGAAAGAAGAAAAGTAAAGAATAGTTAGTAAATATAGAAAAGAATGTATGATTAATAGACGAAATTTTATTTAAATCTCATTAAAGTTAATTGAGAAGAAAATTTTAGGGATAATTTAGATATGATTAACTAAGGCTGTGCACAAACTTTCACCTACTTTCTCTTACTATCAAATATTTCTTATCTTTCTCTAGATGAGCCACGGTTGACCAATTTCTGCATATTCCCTAAAATTCTGAACCTTAATGGACTGGTTATGAAGATTCTCATCACCATTTGTATGTTGACAGTTACAGTGAGTGTAGCAGAACAGCTTATTAATTATGGTGTAGAATTTAAACCAATTACTAGAATGATTACCGGAGTTGGATTTGGAAACATACATTCAAGTTAGATTTACCTAGATTGCATGAAGTAGAGAATATTGTTGTGTATAAGTAGGTCAGCTTATGACGTCACCNCGTGCGCTTTTTCAAATTTTTCTGAAGCAATTCCTTTGAAAACACAGGAAGCAAAAGAAATTGCAATGGCACTTTACCGTGATGTATTTACACGTTATGGTTGTCCGAAATATTTGATTTCAGATCGCGGAAAGAATTTCCTATCCTTGATAATTCAATCTTTATGCAAATTGTTTCATATAAAACGGTATCATACGAGTGCATGGCATCCTCAAACAAATGCCGTATGTGAGAGAACAAATTCTATTATTGCGCAAACGTTGAGAGCATACTGTGAGAAAGACCAAATGAATTGGCCTGATATATTACCTGGAGTAATGATGGCATTGAGAATGACACCGTGTACACAATCTACTAAATATTCACCATATTATTTAGTTTTTGGAAAAGAAATGCGTACACCTTTAGATACAGATATCTTAGCTGAAGATAAACCTGTACAGAATATGCATCAATATATTAAAGAACTACAAGAAAATTTAGAGATAGCTAGGGAAATTGCCACGAAAAACAAAGAAACAGCACAGAAAGTTTATAAAAAGAATTATGATAAAAAAACGAAGGTACCAACATTTAGAATAGGAGATAGAGTGTGGGTATACACACCTTTGACACCAAAAGGATTGAGTTCAAAATTGCATGTGAAATATAAAGGTCCTTATTACATAACAAAAGTGTTATCGACAGGTTATACATATATTCTGAGAGACTGCACAACTCATAAAGAATTATCATCTCCTGTTCATGCAAATAGATTAAAACAGTACTATGACCCTAGAGATTATACACGCTATAGAAAAGTTAGTGAGAGCAAAAGTGAAGAAAATAAGATAACCCAAGAAGTGTTAGCAAAGGACAGTGAATCACAAAACGCATCGAATGATAAAGAGCAAGCCCAAACAAATGATGTGAATGAAGACGAATGGTATGAAGTTGAAAGGTTATTATGTTGTAAAAACATCAACAAGAAAAGACATTACAAAGTGAAATGGAAAAATTACAAAACGCCTACATGGGAACCAGAAGAAAATATATCAGATGCGTTAAAACGAGATTTTCACATAAACAGAACATTACAAGGTCAACGAAAAAGAAAGAAGAAAAGTAAAGAATAGTTAGTAAATATAGAAAAGAATGTATGATTAATAGACGAAATTTTATTTAAATCTCATTAAAGTTAATTGAGAAGAAAATTTTAGGGATAATTTAGATATGATTAACTAAGGCTATGCGCAAACTTTCACCTACTTTCTCTTACTATCAAATATTTCTTATCTTTCTCTAGATGAGCCACGGTTGACCAATTTCTGCATATTCCCTAAAATCCTGAACTTTAATGGACTGGTTATGAAGATTCTCATCACCATTTGTATGTTGACAGTTACAGTGAGTGTAGCAGAACAGCGTATTAATTATGGTGTAGAATTTAAACCAATTACTAGAATGATTACCGGAGTTGGATATTGGAAACATACATTCAAGTTAGATTTACCTAGATTGCATGAAGTAGAGAATATTAAGTCACCTTGTCCTAATCAAGAGTATATGTATTGTTATTATTACATTCACAAGGGCCTGGAAACCTTGATGTCAATGAAAAGTCAGACGGTACACGATTTAAACATCACTTTAAATGCAATATATGATATGTTACCTGATATTGAAATGAAAGATCAGTCCCGTTCTCAAAGATCATTGTTACCATTGGGAAATTTCTTTAAAAATTTGTTTGGAGTATCAAGTGAATCAGATGTAGATGAACTACGTAAATATGTTAAGCTGTTTATAAAAACAAACGAAAAAAGGTTTGAAGTACAAGGACACGAATTATCCTCGTTTATGCACAACGTAGACCACAGAATGGAAAACATGAAAAAGGCCGTTGTTCGTAATTATAATTTATCAAAACAATTACGTTCACAATTACAGCAAAGTGATACGGCAAGGAGTATTGTATTCCATTTATCAAGAATATTTATGCATGAAAATATGGCAAATTCTCAATTAATGTTTGCGTTTAACAACGTATTGTTAGGATGTTTACAGTTGACAAAAGGGCAATTATCGCCATTGTTGGTTTCCCAAGAGCATTTAAAACAGATCATTAATCAAATTGAAAAGGAAGCACAGAAAACGATCAATCCGCTACATGTTATTTATTCAAATCCTAAATATTACTTCAAGGAAGGACAGTTTACATATGGAAAACACAAAAATTCATTATTCATTAACCTACAAATTCCTATTTCTGCTTATCCCCATACATTAGATGTTTATGAAGTAAAAACATTCCCCGTTCCTTTAAATCAATCTACAAACCACGCTTCACAAATACTGGATCTACCAAAATATTTGGCTATTTCTCACGATAAACAACATTATTTTCCCATGAATAATCCTACCTGGAAGAAATGTCATGGAGATCATGTCAAATTATGTCCTTTCGTGTATCCTTTCAGGACTGCGACGCATTTCTCCTGTGTTACAGCATTATTTTTTGACTTGTCAGACGTTATTACTGAAACTTGTAATTTCCGTTTTCTGCATAATGTCGTTCAACCCAACGTGCGCGAATTATCAATAGGAAAATTGTTGTTATATAATATCACTGATATAACAGTGGAGTGCCCTACAAGTACTACTTCCCAACCAGGCTGTCAATATTGTGTGATACATTACTCATGTTTTTGCGGTTTAACCTTAGATAGTTTTTATTTGCCTCCGCGTGTTTATGATTGCAAGAATGATACATCAATTACAAAATTACACCCTGTTAATCTTGGTTTAC